GACCATAACCGAGTTTCTAAAGCTTGCGGATAAGTTCATAGCCACCGAAGAGGAGATCAACCAGAAGGGCGAGGGCGCACCCGAAAAAAGAAAGAGAGAAGGAGAGCCATCCAGTCAAGGGGACACCCGAAGAAAAAAGGAAACAGTTCGGGGGGCGAAGCCGGGTCAATTGTTCCGAGCTCCTGCACCAGACCGAGCTGATTACACCCCACTGAACGCGAAGCGGGCCGAGATCCTGATGGCGATCAAGGACGCCCCGTAAGTGAAGTGGCCACCCCGTCTGAGGGGGAATCCCAATGAAAGAAATAAGAACCTGTATTGCAGTTTAAACAAAGATCACCGTCACAGTACTGAGAGTTGTAAAAACTTCCGCGACGAGATAGAGAAGCTCATCCGTCGCGGATATTTGAGAAACTTTGTACAAAATAATAATTACTAGTAATAAAACAGGTCGGCAAGAGGAGCGCGGTAAGGACGCTCCCGAGTCCAGCAGTAGGCCGGCCGAACAACCGCAAAGGCAGCCTCCGGAGGARAGGCCAGTTCGGGGAACCATCCACATGATAGTGGGGCGTTCGATCGTTGCGGGTTGCACTTCAGTGGCAGCTCGGACGTCGGTTCGTGAGGCCACCCGGGAGGAGCAGAACCCCCCAAAGCGGCCGAGAACAGAAGAGCCAATTTTCTTCACAGAAGATGATGCGCGAGGATTCCACTACCCCCACGACGACGCGCTCGTGATAAAGCTAAGAATCAATGACTTCGAGGTCAGGCGCGTACTCGTCGACTCAGGCAGCTCGGCCGACATCCTCTTCAAAGCTGCGTTTGACCAGCTTCAGTTGTAACGAGGCAACCTGAAACCTACAGACACTCCTTTGGTGGGCTTCAGCGGAGAAGTCCGGCCCCTTGGGAAAGTAACAGTACCTGTTGAAGTCGGCACATGGCCTTGTGTGGTCAGGTTCAAACACGACTTCCTGGTGGTCGCGACCCCCTCCCCCTACAATGCCATAATAGGTCAGCCGATAACCCATGTCCTGCGGGCGGTGGTCTCCACCTACCATCTGGCTATGAAGTTCCCTACAGATTTCGGTATGGGGGTAGCGCGAGGCGACCAGCTCGAGTCCCGCAAGTGCTATGTCGCCGCCCTGAAGGGAAAGACCAAGGTAGCCGACGACCTCGAACTGGAGCGACCTACGGAGCAAGGTGAAGAACGAACCGCGC